TGATGCATTACATTTCTCTGGGAAAATAAATAAATAAAAACTACCCCAAATCAGTTCCCCAATATTGCAGCTGTTTTTGAGGGGTTCTCTCCACTTTTAACCACCACTCTTTCCTTTCTTGTGCATTTATGTGAGCCCGGATACCTACCTGTGGAATTTTGTAGGCATTTAATATGTTGGCCATCTGTATGGTATTCTGGGAAGGGAGATCACCAATGACAGCCATGATGTTTTCCTCCTTTCCCCTCCTGTAATTGAGGGGACAATGGCCTTCAACAAAGAAAAGAGTCAAAAGGTACTCAGAGGCTTTCAGTGCTTGAAAACCATTGTCATAGATCTTGGAGACCAAGGTGATGTTGGGTAATAAGTTCTCATTCATGTTGATCTCCTGAATGGCAAACCTGAAGGCTAGGATATGCTGTAGGTTTTTAGGCAACGGCCTGCAAAAAGAGTTTCAGTTAGTTCTACAATCTTAGAATGTGACAAGGATTGGATTTAGATAGACTTCTTTGATAATGCTTTTCTCTTTGCATAAATGATGTATTTGTCTGCTTTAATGAGTATTAGAGAAGTGAAGAATGCACCCATATTCTGAAGCATTGTTTAAAAAAGAATAAAACCTTCATTCTTAAATTTCAGTAGTTGAGATATTCCAGAAGTGAGGAAAGAATGGAATGAGGAGCTGAGGTGGAATGTCTGATTGTCACTTGAGGATCATGTGGTCATCTATGCATCATACTTTGAGAAGTTTAAAACAGGGTTTTAATGCAATTAAAAGGATTATTTCTTATGTGTAGCATAGCAATGAAATTGGAGGGCAGAAACTGATGAATTGTGCCAATTGTTAAGACAATCCAAATACTCAAAATGTACTGTAACATTTGATCACACTCATATATTTAAAAATGACCCACCTTTTTATGCCTTAAAGTACTAAGGAGACATACTGCATGATAAATAGAAATCTCAAGCAACCATAATCTATTTAAAATAAAAGTCTTGGTATATAGAAGTGTTTGCAACTAAGGAATAAATGATAAAATCCTAATGACGTCGTTATATATTGTGAGAATCATAGATATATATTTATAAGTTTTAATAAAATATCATGCTAGATATTTTTAACAAGGATTCTTTTTCTTTTTGCATACAAAATAAAAAAATAGAGGAACAATATTGTTAAAATTAAACTTAGGAGTTTTTTTATGATCAGATTAATTCTTGTGTAGCAACAGCCACATGAAAAAAACAGGAAGGCTACATTCAACAGCTATATTCTAGCACCTGACTAACAGAGATTTATAAATAAGAATCATGCCTAAACCAGTTTTGATTCTCATCTACAGTGGAAAAATTTTAATGGGAATCTCTTGAATTCAATCACATTAAAAAAAACCTGAAAGGTTTCTTTCAAAAGAGTACTTGCTTTCCACGCAAGGATCCTTCTGGGTGTTCCATAAAGTGGAGAAAAGGCAATTCAGGATATATAGTAGACACAAATTCTCCAACGATTATATCATTGGAGAGGGCAGGGAAATTAAGCTTAAAATGTCTTTTGTCACCACACATGGGGTTAAAGGTCTTGCTGAAAGAAGCCTGGAGGATAAGGACAGAGAGTAGAAACACATGGCAAAGTATGTGAGTCCTTTTGAATGCCAAAGGAATTTGGCTCCAATCACAGCAGTGCAGGCACATCTGCATCACAGCACTTTGTCTGCAACAATGAAAGAGAGTCTCTGTTGGTTTTATGCATAACTAAGGTTGTAGATTACAATAATTATCATCTGAGTGATTCATAATGCAACCTACTGAGCCTCATGAAGTTGTTAACAATAAAGTTAAACTGTTAAGTGTTTAAGTGTTCTGTGCTTTCCCCAAAAAAGAAGTTTAATTAATTAATTCTGACAATTATGAGGTAGGCAAACCCCTTTCCCAAAGCTATTCAACTATTTTTCCAGTTGATGAAATGTTATGGTCCAAACCCGTTTCTTCGCTACTCTCATCAAGCAAGAAAGAAATGATCTTGGGATCATAACAGATTTGGGGAGCTGAGTCTTGCTTTCCCCTATCCAAAGAAAGAATGCTGGTTAAAAGGAAGAAGAGATAGTTTAATAGCCAGATAAATTCTCCCTTCTCATCTCACAACCTCCTAATTCATAAAAAATACTTATTTCTTCTGCTCATCGCTTTGCTGAAATGGTCATATTGGAAAAAGAAACTCTGTAGTTTTATTAGAACTCTGTTCTAATAAAAGAGCAATTGGATGAACTGTGGAGAATGGAGACCACTTTGTAGGCACCAGCTACTTAACTCATTAAAATTGGATGTGGATGGTCCCTCCCCCTGGATTCCTGGGCAACTTCCTGTCTCCATTTTTTTTCCTGTTCATTGCTGAAAGAGACAGATAGAGCTGCTGACTACTGCTCTATCGTGGTGGCTGAACAGTTGTCTGGAAGGCTTTGATCTTGATTCACTTTGAAAGAGGTGATGAGTTTTGAGAGAGGGATCTCATGCATCGTTGCCTGAAGCAGTGGAAAAGAAGAGGCTTGGTCAGCTATCAAAACTCACCATCCTCTGTGAAGGATGAGGAACGGCAATTCTTCTTTCAGCTTGAAATTAGGTTCACTATGACTAAACCATATTTCTATAGGTCCATCAGGTTGGTCTTATAGTCATTGCTTTTCTAAAAAAAAAAAAACCTTCTTAAAATGGCAACCAAAGAGGTATATTAGGTAGGCACCTTGCTTTATATTATTCCAAACTCTTACATTGCTTTAATTGAAAAAAGAAACCCAGAAATTTCAGTGGCTTTAAAAATGGCATATACATAGTAAATCATGCATTAAATACAATAGAAATAATAACATTAAAATAAACCAGCATAATTTTATCACTCAAAAGCTTAGTGACCATGCAGATATATTTGTATAATTTTTTGCATAGCAGCAAAGTGCTAGTTTGACCACTCCCTTCTCTTAGGAATTAGTTTCCATGAATGAATAAATGAAGTAAAGTATATAGTGGTACCTTGGTACTCAACTACTTTCAAACTCATCAAATTTGGTAGTCAATACATTTCAACATGAAAATTTTGTGCTGGTATTCATTGTTTGTTTGATGCACAAGCTTGAACGTCTTGGCATTGGCTCCCATTATTCCTTATGAGAAAACATTGTTTGGTACTCGTCGTTTTTAGTCCTCATCATGCTACCCTGAACAAATTAACAATGAGTACTAGGGTACCACTGTATTTGTCAGTTGTTAGTTTGATTTTTTTTGAAGAAATATAAAGAATAATTATCTCTTCTTTTGTTCTTTTTATTTTTGGAGAATGCAACTATACTGACACATATTTCCACTTTGTCACTTAAACACTCATTTTGTCTTTAACATCTTAGAATGGAAGATTTCAGCATCTTACTAAAAGATAAAGTAGAAGCACAGGAGAGATGTAAAGATGTTCTACAATTTTAGATGTTCTACAACTAAATAGCTAATGTCATTGAGGGGTGAAGTGACCTAGAGGTAGAGTTCCCTTCTCATAATCAGGAGGCTGTGGGTTTGATCCTATGTGTAGTGGCAGATATTTCTCTCTCTGGGCACAATGAATAATTGTCTGCTGCGAACTCTGCATAGACATCAGGAAGGGCATCTGGCCAGTAAACACTTGAGCTCCATTTAGTTGCCCCAACTCCACCCTGATGCAAGGGATTGCAAGGTTGTTAAAAGAAAAAAAAAGCTAATGTCATTATATAGAGAGGGATGTCAAACTGCCAGCCCCTGGGCCAGATGCATCATAGCAAAACCGCACCCACCCCATTGCCGGCAATGGAAAAAAAGTCACAATATGTCATGGCATGTCAGGTGATGTTGTGAGTTTGACACTGCTGATATAGAGGAAAAATATATTAACTGATTTTAAGATGTTTGTTCTCCAGCTTCATGTTTATATTTGTACTGAAACTCAAGGAGTCACAAATTAGTGGCAAATGGAGACCCAGATTATTGGGGGCAATATGCAAGTAATGCTTACATGGTCAACTGTGCAGAGAGTGCTGAAATTGCTATGGAGCTGTATACAAGTTTAAATGTTGTTGCGTTCAAAAATGGAAGAAGACATCTATTCCTGAATAAAATATAGCTATCAAGCTGTGAAGCTATAAAGTCAGGCCATCCAAATTACTTCTGTACTTGAGGAAATTTTCTTCCTGGGCATTTCAACAAAATAGTGATTTGTTATTAGCAATATCACTAATAAAAGCTATATAGCTTTATATCTTTATAGCTCTTTTTTTATAATAGAGTGTAGCATTCTGAGGCATTTGCTGTTTCCAAAATTTTGAATCTAATCCCCATCCCCTGAAATTTAAAATATGATATTAAAAAGAAAATGTGTTGGAAAGAGGACACCAATAAATACATGACTATAAATCATATTAGCATTTTATTGTAATTCAATATAAAGAAGATAAAATCGTATTTAATAAATAAGATTACTTGTGGACATCCTAGCCACTATATTTCTGAATGTAGTTTTCAATTTATTGATCGAAGACAAAGATGTCTTCATCCAGAAAAAATAGTGCACATTTTTTCCTTGTTATTATGTGTTTGTGAAGTTTCTTACATTAAGAGCCCTGGTGGCATAGTGTTAGAAGACAGTATTGCATACAAAGTCTGCCTACAGCCTGGAGTTTGATCTTGACGAGGCTCAAGGTTCGCTCAGCTTTCCAACCTGTAAATGAGGACCCAGATTGTTGGGGGTAATATGCAAGTAATGCTTACATGGTAAACTGTGCAGAGAGTGCTGAAATTGCTATGGGGCTGTATACAAGTCTAAATGTTATTGCTTTCAAAAATGGAAGGAGACATCTATTCCTGAATAAAATTCTTTGACCAATCATCTGTTATGTTGTCTTCAGCCAAATTAGGAATTAGGGCAGCATTTACGCTGCACTTGAAACCACACTAGTCTTTTTCCTAACTAGCTGCTCTCTGGTATTCAGCTCTGGTCTCAGCATGATAATATAGCACTTGGGCATAAAAATGCAACCTAATAAGCCACCACTTGAGGCCAAGATAGAGAAGACCTCCACAGCCACCATGGATTTCCCCTTAGTGCTTAAGTAGGTGGGCACAAAGGAGACCCAAACACTGCAAAAGACCAGCATGCTGAAGGTGATGAGTTTGGCTTCATTGAAACTGTCGGGCAACTTCCGGGCAAAGAAGGCCACTATGAAGCTGATGAGGGCCAAAAGCCACATGTAGCCCAGCACAACATAAAACATGATCTCTGAGCCTTCGTTGCATTGCACTAAGATCTCATCCAATTGGGAATGCATGTCCAACTCTGGGAAAGGAGGAGAAATGGTCAACCACACAGCACAGATGCTTGTTTGAATAAGTGAGCAAAAAACAATGACTGAGACAGACAGTCTTTTCCCTACCCACAACCTCATGTGGTTCCCTGGCTTTGTGGCTATGAAGGCCAGAACCACAGTGATGGTTTTGGCTAACACACAAGATACCGCGATGGAGAAGACAACTCCAAAAACTGCTTGCCGGAGGAGACATGTGACTATCCCTGGGCATCCGAGGAAGAAGAAAGAGCAGAGAAAACACAGCAGGAGTGAGAAAAGCAAAGTGCAGGTGATATCCCAATTGTTGGCTTTGACAATGGGAGTATTTTGGTAGCGGATAAATGTCCCCATGACTAAAATTGTGATTACAGCAAAAGAAACAGCAAAGCTAGTCAGGATTTCTCCCACGAATTCTTTGTAAGATAAGTAGGCGATAATTTTCGGAATGCAGTGATGATGCTTCTCATTTGGATATTGTTCTTCTGGGCACCTCTCACATTGCTTGGAATCTGAGAACCATAAATAAGATTTTTAAAAATTCTACACATTTAATTGATACTAGGTTTTAACAATTATTCCTTGCTGAAACAGTTTTTGGAATCTTCACACATAAATGTATGGTTGCATTCTGAGCAAGTTTCCATATTACCACTTAAATCTGATAACTAGAATTGGCTTCATATAAAGAAAATAAACCTCTTTCAAAAATTGTGCCTTAGGAAAATCTTTTTAAAAGTTTATTTAATATGCTATGTTTCTTGGAGATATGATTACACACCTAAATAAAGAAAAGCTTCTATTTAAAAAAAGAAGAAAGAAAACAAGGCAGGTGAGAGATCCCAATCAATCTATTCTTGTGTTTGAAATTATATTAAAAAACCCAAACTTGATTAGAGAAAAATGTATTTTTAAAGAGATATTACCGTAGATCTCTTTTTCTTACCAACCATGGTGGAAATGCTTCCCTCTGAACATTGGACACAGTCATAACAGCAAACCTGTTTCCCCTCCTTAATTAATTTCCGGTACCCAGGATAGCAACTGTCTACACAGGTGGCAGAAGGTGGTGTCTAATGGGAAAGGGAAGAATAAATAATTAAGAAGAATTATAATCTGGTTTTTACTCAATCAGTCAGCAGTCATTCTCTGTAAATAAATCCTAAAGCAATCATTTACTTGTAAGTTCTTCAATTCTTGAATTTCTAGAACTGATTGCTAGATTTAGTCGGAATAGAGGTAAACATCTGAACAATCTTCTAACTGCTATTGAAAATTTGGATAAAAGTCCCTTCACAATTCCTACATCATACATAAGAGAATTTGAAAAGTCCTGAAGATGGTCATAGAAGACTCTCTCACAAACTTAATGAGCTGTCTTAATTTGACAAATAATAAGAAATAAACTTATATGAGAAATGTTGAATTTCTAAGAATTTTGGTTGGGAATGACATCCATATTTAGTCTTCCTCACTTCCTTGAGCTGATAGCAAATATATTCCTGCCTAGCATTTGCCGTCCTTTTTCAATTATCTCTGTGTTGCATTGCCACTGGAGAATGGTGTCCTGCTTCTCCATGTATAATAAATGTAGTCACAAATGAAGGCCAATATGTGTGTCCCAGGGTAATATTGCAGGATCCAATCTGGGTCGGTCTCTGGGACCCGAGTTGTATTCCAAGCTTTTGGACTTGTGTTGGAGCCCATCTTCTAGGAACTTCTCTCTAACACAGTATGTGCTGTTCTGTGTGTGGTGTTTATAGTGCCTGTGGTAAGTGGCTTTTTAGATGTTGATGGCTGGCTTTTAAGTCATTAGCGTGTGCTGCACAGCCCTCACCTTTTAAGTATTAGGCTAAATGTAAATCATCACTCCTAATGACTGACAAGGGGACCAGGCTTCAATCACTTCCCTGGCTGTTTTTGTGCCTGCTTGTCCAACAATCTTAAAAGTTGAAAATTGAATGTGTATCCTTGTCCATTGCAGTGTGAGGCTACCAATGAGTTTGGGGCTCCTCATCTGATGAATGTCAGGAGTTCATGCAGGAGAAACAGTCCTGCATGAACTAGAACACCATGTATTTCATAACTACGTATCTAAATTCTGATGCTGCTATGTGGATGAGATTTTTGTCATCATCAAGAGAAAAGCACTTAAAGATTTTCGTGCCATTCTGAACTCCATCTTCCCCAACATACAGTTCACAATGGAGGAAGAAACAGCTAGGCAATTACCATCTGTAAACACAGAAGATGGAAGCCTAGAAACCACAGCTAAATGTCTACGGAGATTCTCAGTCATCTAGGTCATTGTTATCCCAAATGCTTTTTTATGAGTCAATAGGACTTTGTTGTTTTTCTTTGAAAACGTTTTGCTTCTCATCCAAGAAAAAGCAATAGTTGCTTGCATAGCTTTATGGGTGGGATTTCTAACTTTTTATTGGGGAATTGTTATGTATGTATCCAGACTTGGTTTCACTCTTGACCATGCTGACACTTTGTAACTAATAACATGTTCTTTGAGGAAGTTTCAATCCTTGGAGTTCTGCTTTATTTGTCTCTGTCTGTCGGAACCATGACAGAATCATTACAGAAACAGTCCTGGGTGAACTAGAACACCATTCATTTCAGAACTACACACCTAAATTCTGTGCCGCTATGTGGATGAGATATTTGTCATCGTCAAGAGAAATACACTTACAGATTTTCATACCATACTGAACTCCATCCTCCCTAATATACATTTCACAATGAAGAAAAAACAGCTAGGCAATTATGATTTTTAGATGTACTTATAAACACAGAAGATGGAAGCCTAGAAACTAGAGCTAAATGTCTATGGAGATTCTCAGTTATCCAGGTCATGGTTATCCCAAAGATTCTTTTTTACAAGGCAACTGGACTTTGCTATTTTTCTTTGAAGACGTTTCACTTCTCATCCAAGAAGCTTCTTCAGCTCTTGGATGAGAAGTGAAATATCTTCAAAGAAAAAGAAGAAAGTCCAGTCGCTGCATGAAAAAGCATCTTTGGGATACCTAGAAACCACATTTTATCACAAGGCCACCAACATTACACAATTCTGAATTTCAACAGCAACCATCCACTGTCACACAAAAGGAGTTGCATCATAACACTATAAGGCAAGGTGAAAAGTCACTGGAGTAACCAGCAAGACAAGCAGCTGGAGAGCAGGTACCTACATGAACAATTCAAGCAGAATGGGTGCCCATAATCATTTGTCATAAGATGTCTGTGCAACACGGTGGACAGAGAAGGTAAGAAAGAAGATATAAGATCAACCACCTGGCACAAGCTGACATATATCCAAAGCATTTCACTAGCAGTAGAATGCAGCTTCTGAGATGTGCAAGGGGGCATTCCCACCTCAGAGGCTACCATACAAGAACAAATTATGCCAATCAGGAAAGTAAATGCAGGTGTGGTGAGCGCAAGACTTGGGGTGATGGTCAGTTTTAGTAGATGTCCAATTAATTTCTCCTATTCTGTAATGAGCAATAAAATGGGATAGCACATTAGTCCAATCTTGCCTGTATTTCAAAATGCATAAGCATCAGTGCCTTCTGAAAAGCTATTCACTTCTGTAAAGCAGGAAATTTACTATAGTTTTTCAAAGCACATCACTTGAAAAAACCACTATATCAAAATGGCCAGCAGCTGTCCCCAGATTTTTGAATTGGCAATGGGAAGGAAAAACTGTGAGTGGCAAGAGAAACCTGCCCTGCAAAACTCCAGGGAGATGGGATGTGTAGGTTAGGCTGAAGTGGTAAATAGATGTGCTGACCGTTTTCATGCTTTGTTTCTCAAACTGATTCAACCATCGACTAAGCAGTCAGATAAATCCATTAGTGGGAAAGTCCTCTGGACCCAGAAGGTCCATAACCCCAGCCAGCAAAGCTCTCTTTCCCCACAATCTGAAAGTATAATGTAGAATGTAGAATTGTTTCATTTTTCCAGGATACAAAATTGTTCTAACATCATTAGGAAGATTTCAAATGACCTTGGAACCACTCTGAGTTTACTTGTTTAAAATTCCAGAAATTGAGAAAATATCACCATTTTAGGTGTTTTTTTTAAAATTCACCTGCTTAAATTTGGGATTCCATACAATGGCAGTTGTATTAATGGTGAGGTCTTCCTTCTGAGAACTCTGAGGTTCAATTGTCCAACTTGGATCTTCTTAAAGGATCGATTGGGGAAAGTAATCAAGTTGATGCTGCTGCCAGGTTTCCATTCTCATTGACAGCTATTTCTTCCCCAGCACTATTGTTGAAATGGACTTTTTTCAGAAATAAACGAAGCTAAAAGATAAGAGAGATAAGTGAGAAATTAGTGCTGATAGTAGGCAATAGGATTTACAGTTCCATGCTGTGATTTACCAAATGGTGCTGAGCTTGATTTTTAATGAACTTCCAAACATTTGAGTTAATATTTTTTATGTTGAAAGGCATAATTCTACTTTGCAGGAATATGTTCATATTTTTTAAGTTTAAGTAATTAATACAGATATTGTCAGATAGACTGCTCTTCCAAATTTTGCATTTTATGAGAGACAAAAATTATTGCTAAGAAATATAACAGAAAAACAGAATATTAGAATAACAGAATTGGAAAGGACCTTGAAGGTCTTCTAGTCCAACCTCTTGCTCAAGCAGGAGACCTTAGATCATTTCAGACAAATGCCTGTCCAATCTCTTAAAAATCTCCAGTGTCGGAGCACCCACAACTTCTGAAGGAAAGCCGTTCCACTGATCAATTATTCTAACTGTCAGGAAATTTCTCCTTAAGTTTAGTTGGTTTTCTCCTTGATTAATTTCCAACTACTGCTTTTTGTTCTGCTTTCATGGGCTTTCGAAAATGGCTTGACTCTTTGTGGCTGCCCATTATATCTAATGAATATCATAACAAAACATATTTATTGGAATCCTGTCCCAGAAAACATGATTAAGAAGTTCCTTTATGGCCTTTGCAGATTAAATCAGCTTACACCAAACATATCTTAGAGAAAGATAAGTATTCTCATTGTATCATAACCCTGCCTCCAACTTCATTCCATTATTATTATTTTGCAGAAATTCTTTCTTCTCTCTACTGCAGTAAATTTTCTCTACTCAGCCACAAAATGCTGCAAAAAGGGTAATCTTATACTGGATTTGAGAATTTTTTGAATTGAAGATTGGAAAGAGAGCAAAAGGCCTCTGGGGAAAAAATTACTTCCATATAGCTAAAATAATATCTGTAAAAAAAATCAAAATTGCAACAAGGAATAAGCACTTTCAGAGGTTACCACCAAGTGTCTAGACAACTAAAAATTATAAAGAGCAATTTAAAATATATATTAGATACATAATTCTTCTACTCTAATGGAATAGCTAAATGAAGAACCTGGTATTGTTACTTGTTGCATGCCTACATGTCAGGTGCAAGAAATCAGGAACCAGAATTGAGTTCATAAGTCGTACAAGTTTATTTCATTATACCTATAAATAGCAATATGAACTACTAATGGTCAAGGCGAATTGGTACCAGAGAAAAGTCAAGGGAGCGGGACTTAGGTCTTTTATGGGGGTAAAGAGACACGAACCTTATGATGCATTTGACCCCACCCTCAGGCTCAGCAAGTAATCTCCTGTAATCTAAACAAAATCATGTTTTGTTCAACCAGACACTTTCAAATAAATGCAGATGGGATTGGAGTAAAAATATATTGTTAATGAATGTTGTAAAAATTGAAATCAATATGCGATTAAAGCTACATTTCCATTACATTAGGAGGCACCATAATTCACTTGCCAAGGTTGGACTTTCAGAAAATTCCACTTTTCTCCTTTGTCCATTGTCTTCTTCCTGGTTCTGGGTGAATACATGGTATGGAGACCTTGCGCTACAGCATACACAGCATTGTAAATATTGTAGCTCTGACCAGACATCTCCATTTCAAAGACAGTTCCAGGGAGACTCCCCAGATCCTCCTTCCCAGTGCAGCTTCCTTTGCCTTGTGCATATATATTGTACATTGGAAATGAACCGATAAATGCAGCACTCCAGAACTGAGGTAGGAAATATATTTTAGAGTGAAATGGATTTAGGTTCTCAAGGAACTCTTGAAAACCTGGTACCATATTTGTGTGAAGGGCGAAAGACAAGCTGCCATTGAAGGACAATGCTGTGAAATTCTGGGGCTCAAAGACAGAAGTGACATCCCACAAAGCACTTATGATCCAAACCCTCTCTAATGGGGGACTGTTACTAATTTCATAGCATTCAAGAATTATTCGTAAGCCTTCTATAGATTGCATG